AGGACAGGCCCCAGCAGACGTGACCCCCCTCCCACATCCAGTTTCCCGGCTCGGGTCCCAGTTCTTAGGAATACACGGATCCACCCACAGACCTTCCCACCTTATCTACCAGATCATGCCAGATCCCAGCAGCCTTCCAGGTAAATCCCGTTTTATTGGAAGTGACTCGGGGGTGACCCCGCCCTGGACAGTCCAACGGTATGTGCATGTGTGTCTATGTGCATGCATGTTGCGGACAACGAAAAAAAGCGACACAAAATCGCACGACCTCTAGTCAGCCCTGTGCCCAATCGTCCTGGAGACTGCATATATTTATTTTAATATATCGGCCCACACTGCATCGCCAGATGAGAATCCAGGGTTCCCCCACATGTTTGCATGCACCACTGGTCCCACTATGTTCCACTCCCTGTCTCGCCCCAGTGCGCACTATTTCACATTTCCCGGATACATATATTGAATTAGCAAACCCGAACCCCAATAAATGGAAGTGAGTTGCGCTGACCCCCCCTAGGGCATAATTGGATCCCGATTCTGGGCACTAGATCAGCCAACCCCGATATTGGAAGTGGTCCCTTGGGCCCGCACATACGACCCCCCCCCCCACTTCCATTTAACAAAAGTGGGGGATGGCTTATGACCTGTCACCTGCAACTGTTTATCGCGCGTCTTCTGGTCCAAGACTCTCCACAGTTTACCCCCAGACTCAGAACATCCTCGGCCTGTGAGTTGTTCAGGTGAGGCAAGAGTCCGTAGACGAAGTGTGTGAGATGCCTCAGCCATACTGTCGCCAATACAATCAGAATCCCTTCGCCCAAGACCCCCGAAACTTAAGTTCAATCCTACATCCCTCACCCTTAAACCCAAGCTAAACTAGCTGCTGCCGGGTAGCCGATATCTTGATGGAAGACCTCTACATCATGAATCAAGTGGGGACTCCCTTCGATTTGTTCAAGGAGACCCAGCAGGGCCAAGACTTTCATACCCTAAGATCGATTTCTTACAGCTAGAGACCACCCGCCCCCCGGTCTCTTTCTTGGGTGCCTGGTAGGCGCCCTTTTAGCAGGAATCCTCTGATTCAGGGTTCTGCATTTCAAGATTAGAATACTATTCCGGAAAGCTCCTGAGTCCAAACATGGCACAACAAATCCCGAAGCCCCAGTCAAAGCTGCCATAATATGTATTGGGAAACCTATTTTTCCGAAACTCAAAGATATTGTCCTCGGGGTTCCGTATGTAGTATCTTCATAGTATAATGCATCCCCAAACATCTCCAAACTGTAGTCTAATTATGAAGGCCCCTGTGTTATTAGGGTCGTCTTCTACCTAAACAGCCCCGAAAGTAGGTAAAAAGACATCCCCAACACCCATGAGCAGCTATTATTCTGCATGCCGATGCGGCCCTGGTAAAACCTAAACCCCCCTTAACTGATAGATCCCTATATTACAGGATCATCTAACCCTAAAACCCCTAAACCCTGGCCCTAACCCGTAGATTATAAAGGAGTTCCCCCTACACCCTAAATCCTTATGGAACCTGTATAGATCCCATTCGAAGGAACCCTCCCTAAAAGGATCCCCTCATACGGGGCCATGAAGAGAGAGCCCTCAAAAGGAATCCGTACTGGTATTCTGAAACTCAGAGCGTCCGAGAGACTCGGGAAGGCGGACGCCCCAACTCTCCTCAAGCTCGCCGATGCGCATCTGCCTAGGGGGTTTAGAGATTGAGGTGTTGCTTCTACGGTTTTAGGGTTTAGGGCTTAGGGGATTAGGGTTTAGGACTTAGGGGATTAGGGTTTAGGACTTAGAGTTTAGGGTGTTGGGCCAAAGGAGCCCTGTTAGGGTTCTAGCTTTTTCAGTTTCTTGTTAGCGGGCTTCTTTCTCACTGCTTCTTCAAGGGTTTTGGGCTTAGGGCTTAGGGTTTAGGATTCAGGGGTCTAGGCTTACTTTTCGGGGTCAAGTTTAGGGTTAGGGCTCTAGGGTCGCAGGGCTCGGGGGGTTTACGGTTTGGGGCTCAGGGTTTAGATTTAGGTTTAGGTCTCACGTAGCCTAGGGTTTAGGGTGGTTTCGGGGTTTAGCGGCTTAGAGTTCAGGGGTTTAGACAGTGGAGTCTGGGGATTTAGGCTCCTAGGATCACTGGAACTGCGATGCAGGAACAGTGAGGCACCGGCTTCTCTGGCAACTCCATGTCTGAATCAACAGAGAGTTCTTCCTGCCGTGCAGGGAGGTGAGAGATTGTGTTAGATGCTGGGGATCGGACTGCGCTCAAGAAGGCAGGTCCTCGAATTCGTAAGCAATGAAAGGTGGCAAGAGCAGCTCTTGTTCGGAGTCACCGGCCTGGCAACCCAAGGCGCCTATTTTAAGCCAGCCCTACGACCCTACGAAATCCTTATCGAACCCCTGGATTCAGCCCTACCAGACCCTTGTCCGACCCCTTCATAAATGATTCCCCCATCGAACGCATGGAAAACACCTTAATCACAGGAACCCTGCAGAACCCTTATGGAACATCTTGAAACAACTCGTAAAGAAACTAAGACTAAGCCCCACTGTCCTTAACTCTTCTCAACGCGGCTTTCCAATAAAATCGGGGCCTTCCGCTTGGGTCCGTCAAAAAGCTGCACTGGAGTCACCTTCGCATGTGAAGCATGGTGCTCCTTATTAAAAAACTACGAAATGACGTTCAGGGTTTAGGGTTTGGGGGCTTAAGCTTTGATGTTCAGGTAACATTCCTACAATGTCCTACATCCTACAAGGGTTCCATGGTCTTCTTACCTTGTAAGCAAAAATCCCAACTACACACTCACCTTTCTTCAAAAGACTCTCGAAACCCTAAACCCTAAACTGCCACGAACGCCGCTTTCCATTTGCATGGGCGCTCGAAGCTCATGCCCAAAGGGAGGGTAAAGCCCCCCGGTATGCGGGGACGGAAATAACTCGGCTACGCCTCACACAATACAGGTTCTCATGAGGCCCCAAACCCCAAGTTGTGTTTTTGTGTCTGCCTCGGGGGTCTGGGGACCTGGGCCGGTCCCGAAGGGCACAATTTACGTTTCGAGCGACCGTTACAGGCTGTCAGGGGCAGTTGTTTGTTGGAAACCCATGCTTATCGTCGAGCGGCCGGCACAGGCCACGAGGACCCACAACCCGACACTCGTCGTTTATGTGTCGAGCTGCGAAGGGAAGCAGAGAGCAAGAAAGCTTCTCTTGAAGGGAGTTTGGGGGGTGAGCCCTAAAGCCTAATTGAGAATAGTTGGGGTGGTTGGGGCGAGACTACATGGAGATGCAAGGGCGCGATAAGTGGGTGTGCCCTTATTCCTACAGCACAAGGCGCACCCACCGCCTGCACACTGTATACCCCAAACCCTAAATCCTTCTTCAAAAGGACTCCCTAAACGGCTGTTCGGCTGGAGCTTCGCTGCCCAAGCGGCCCAAGGAGACGAGGCATAGTCCCGACCTTTGCCAGAGCTCCGAAGGGTTTAGGATTTTTAGGGTTAGGTTTGTGGGGTGTTTAGGGTTTAGGGTTTGGGATGATCCCAATTGAAGAGCCCTTATGAAAGAGAGCCGTAGTCCTACCTGGAGAGCTTTGGATCACCTGTAACGAGGCACCAAAAGATCTGTTTGCCCTTACAAGTAGCAGCTAGTTTGGCTGTGCACGGTTCATTTCACCCTGAAGCCCTGCAGAAGCGGAAAACGGGCTTTCGTCGCAGTCTGGGCTTCTCTCGGCAGGTGGGTCTGCCCACTTTTGCTCTGTTACAGCCTGCACGCAGCTTCAGCAGGGCGACTGCCTCTCCCCCACTGTATATTGGCACCAGGTTCCCGAGGCGCGTAGGTTGCCTGCTGTGGTCGCAGAGTCCAAGACCTCTGCTGTTTGGCTCCGGAACGAAAGCAGCGCTTGCACCGTCTGCAGCTCTCGCCGTTCTTCGCATGACCTGTAAAGCCTCAAGAGCCAGAGCCCTGCAGCTGCTCGACGAAACTGCGCCTTCCAGGTAGCATCTGCCAAGTTCGCCGACCTGCTGAGGCGGTCGGCATGTCACCAAGGCGTCGACACAGAAAGTTGCACAGATGGACTGCGATTTTGTAGATGCCGCCTTGTAATTTGCTTCCGCGAGGGCGAATGCGGCGTGACACATTCGCACGCAGCTTGTTCAGAGAGGTATTGAGAACCGCCGTGCCATGAAGCTGGCAAAGTCGTCCTTGTCGTCAGAATAGGAATTTAGCTGCGGAAGCGCGCGGCGCAGATGAATCTGGCAAAAAGTAGGCCGAAGAAAGAACATCACAGCTCCTGGGCACGTTTTTGTGAATCTCCGGTTTCGTCTGAATCTAATAACCTCAAACAAATATCATAAGACGCGATCCTAGAAGTAGCAGCTAGCACTCACTGGAAGATCTGAAAGGATGCAGATGCAAGCAAGCGAATCTCGCAGAAAGGAGTCTTCATGCTCAAACAGACTGTGACGTTAACTTTCCGCACAAACCTCTGACGTCCAAGGCTCTTAAGGCTCTTCGTTCATCTCATGGGGCTCTTTTGTGCCAGCTCACAGCCTCTCCTTCCTCGAAGTTGCAGACCGCCTGAAAACTGACTTGCTCCAGGCTCTTCTCTCCACCGTGAGCTACGGTGGCTGGCCTGGCACGCCGGCTCTTCTTAGGGGCTTGTTCAGGGTCTAGTATAATGTAAGGGTTAGAATTAGAAAGGGGGGTAATATAGGGGAGGGCTAGGGGTGATCATAAGGGGATACTACATTCACCCTCCATTGCACAGTGCTGAAGCGGGGGGGAGGAGGCCTTGGATGTCCTGTAGGCCGGCGCAGCGTGACAACCACTGCCTTGCGGGCGAGCTTTGGATTCCCGGCTTTCAATCTTGCTGCTGGTGTGTAAAATGCCGAGTAGTAGAACATGTATAGTATAAAACATATCGTGCAGAATCTCACTTACTTATTTATTTATTTATATATATATACCTGTATGTATGAATGTACAAGTATGTATATATATATATATATTTGTATGTTTCCATGTATTCTACATAGTAGTACCTACTCGTAGCATAGTCTAACACAAATAGTACACGATATGCTCTATGTAATATCCCACTGCAGGCAAGGAGCCACTGCGACCAAGGCTGCCTCGGGGTGTTCTCAAGAGGCCTACGGCCATGGGGTCATCCTCAACCTCCTCTTCTGCGCGTCAAGTCTACTCATCGCTTCGCCCCTCAAGAGCACCTCGAGCCTTTTAGAGACTCCAAAACCCCTTAATGAAGGAAAATACCTTAAATCATAACAGGAACCCTAATAAGATATAAAGTGTATTCCTTAATCAAGGGGTTTTGGAGTCTCTGGGCTTTGCCCCTCGAGAGCACCTCGAGCCCTAAATTCTCAGACATTTCTGGGCTCAACACTGAGGCCTGGGCTCCGAGCACCGTTTGGAGCCGCAAGGATTCATGCAGCACCACCAGGCTGAAGAGGAAGGCAAAGCCAGCCTCTGCCATGCGGATTAGGGTTTGGGGTTAGGGGTTCAGGGGTTTAGGGTTTAGGGATTAGGGTTTAGGGATTGGGGGTTCAGGGGTTTAAGGTTTGGGGCCTAGGTCTGTGCCACCAAGAGAGCAGCAACACCCCTAGGTACCGTTGTCTGGGAATTTATGAGTTTGGAGTTATGAGGAATATTCCTCCAATTGTAGGCTTATAGCTAAACTATTTGATTGAGCGGTGTTGGGCCTTTTGGGTAGGTACATACCGGGCGTGGACTTTGCCCTTCGAGGAGACTTCGGACGTAGGCTTAAGGCTTCCGCCGCTCCCTTGATGCCCCAGAGTGCGGGGGTTTCGGTCCGGCACTGTGCCTTCATTGTCAAAAGAGGCAAGACGACGAAGAGCTATGGGAAAGAACGATGAGGGCAGCTTGAAACATTTCTGAATGTTTGGGCACCTCAAGGGTCAGCATCAGCGTCCCAGCTGCCGCCGGAAGGCCTGCACTCATCGGTGCAACACGATGCTTCTGGGTTCTCCTTGGGCTTAAAGGCTTGCGACTTCGGGCTTGGGGTATAGGTATAGGCATAGGGCCCTAAACCCTAAACCCTCGGTTTAGGGAAACCAAGCAGCCTCTGAAGCCCAAGGTCACGAGCAGCTGCTCCGTTACGCTGGTGAGTCCCACGGCGATCAGAGACAGCCACGTCCATGTATCAATGCCCTCGAAGACGAAGCTGCCCTAGCAAGCACAACTGACAGAACTTGCATAGTCCATGCAAGCATTATGTTAACTTATGTTGCTTGGATGGATAAGATTCCGGGTAGAACGGCAGGTTCCGACGCGCTCAGATTTCATTAAGCCTCCTGCTTCCTCACGAGGAAGTAGAGGCGCTTGCCATGCCAAGACAAGCTGAAAGTACGTAGGCTTTCAAAGTACAGAAGAGCTACCTACGACCCGAGGCAGCCAGGGCACCTCCGTGAAAGGAAGGGCTGCAACCAGAACGCACAGGGCTGTCGCGGAGTAGCTCCAGACCACCAGCTCTGCTTCAATACATTTCGTTGGCGGCGTTGGCCGCATGAGCTTCCGGACCAGCAGGTAGGTCAGACCTCGATGAAGAATAATGCGAAGTGGGCACGTCTCATGCACCTAGCTAAACTTACCGACCATGCGTGAGAACGGCTGTTCTTGAGAAAACTTCCCGCCGAGTTGTTGCTTAAGGCTGGCGAGGTGCTGGCGCTCAACGCGCCGAGCAGGGCGATCCCCACGCCGAGCTTGATCTTCAGCATTTTGGAAGGATGGGGGTCTTCCGCTTTAAAGGAGGAATAAAAAACCCCGAGCCCTGAACGAAGCCCTAACCCCACTTGGAGGATCATGGGACTTAGTAAACTGGGTTGTAAACAGGGCAAGGATACTTTTAATGACTTACTATAACACCAAATAAGCACTCGTAACCCTATTATATAACGCAGTCTCATGATCCTCCAAGTAGAGGGATGGTGGAGACCGCCGCAACATTAGACCTGGTACAACGCACCTGCACAAGCTCTTCCCAGGACCGGAGCAGGGGTCTCCCTTCTGTGAAACTTCATGCCCGAATCCCCTCTGCGAATCCGATTTAAGGTTTAGGGTTTATAAGTTTAGGGTTTAGGGGCGCCCTCCGATACTTCCCAAGATTTCCAGCTATGGAGTGGCTCTCGCTGTACCCCGCCGAGTACAGAGCAGTTGCACAACTGGAGCTGTGTTGCATAGCTTTCTCTGCTACATTCTGCCAACATTACACCAAACCCCCCCAAACCCTACTTGGAGGTTCATGAGTAGTTATAAGTCCCCCAATACGGGTTATAATTATTGCTACCCTACTTATAACCCCACTAAAAAATACCCATGAACCTCCAAGTAAAGGGGACTCTCAGAGTCCAATGCCCGCCTGCCCAAGGGATTGGTCTTCGGAGTGGTTCAAGCGACCACGCGCCACGAGGGCACAGCCCAAGGTGGCCACCAGCGCGGCCACAAGGGAAGCCTCGGGAGAGACCATCATATTCCCCTATAGTCCCTTTCGAAGTCTGCTTGGTCATGACATGTCATTACCACGTTATTAAGCTATAAATCATAACCAAAAACCCTCTTCTAATTGCGAGAGGTCGCTTAAAATGGGTGCCGCTGGTAGGGCGTCTGGGGCCTAAGGGGGCTTAAGGGGTTTCTGGCTTCAGGCCTCTATGCCCGAAGAGGGAGAGCAAGAAATCTGGGACGCTCCGAGGAGCCGTGGACAAGGGCTCGCCGAGGGCGCAAGGCGCAAGCAGCGCCGTGAGGACGGGATAGACCTGGGAGCTTCTTGGAGGTTTCGAGTTGGGATTTCGGTGTTAGCCCCTAGACATACATATATGTATGTATGAATGTATGTGTGCATGGATGTATGTATGTATGCATGCATGTATGTATGTATACATACATACATATGTATATATACAGTATGTATATATACAATATGTATATAGACAGGAGCCGAGAAAGATGCTGCCGGAAGCAAGTTTTCTTGCTCGAGCTTTCCGTCGAGTCCTTTACAGGCTTGCTGTCTCAGAACTGGAAGTGCAGCTGTGACATAAGCCATAAGCAGAGTGTAGCGAGGGTTGAATTAAGATTTCAAGTCTATACACGGGCTTCAGCTCAAAAGATCCTGCTTGAATATGCTGGTCAAGCTGAAGCCTTTGATGAATTTCGGGATTGCCAAAGGATGCAAACCTTTGCGTAGAGCGCTCTGTCCAGCTTTATCAGGTCGGAAGCGTTTGGCCAGTGCTGGAAAATTCTCAATGCATCTGTTACTCTGTCCCCTTAGAATCGCCCCTCATGGGTAGACCGGAGCTTGTGCGGAGGCCACAGGCGTACAGGAGCATCGGGAAAAGAATGCCTCCGCCAGTGACTGCACCCGCTCCGCCGAGTAGGCCGTGCCATTCCAGGTGTAGGTGGAGCCGGGAGGGCAGGCAACGATTGCGGCACAGGCGGGACGCTCGCAGGAGCTCGGGCATCCAATCTCACGAGGGCAGTTCGCGTAGGCTGCCTCCACGGCTTCTTGGCAAGTACCTGCAGCCATCATCGTCTTCACGCAGCTCAGAGCCCAGACGAGGAAGGAAACGCGCAGCATGGCCATTTTATTCCGCGAGACTTGGGCTGGTAACTATCCCGGAAGCTGGCAGCACTTGAGACAGCAGCTCTTGAGCCAAAAACACTGCGGTGCTTCTGGCGTCTGTATCAGCTTCTCTCTACATCATGCTCTGGCTTGCAAGAGCTTCTATGCTACAGATCGACCAAGCAGCGCTGGCTCTGGCAATCCGAACCCTGAAGGCTGCAAGTTAAGCACAACAAAGTAGATTGAGAGAAGCCGCGGTGTGAAGCGAAACCGCATCTGCCAAAGGCAAGAGCTTCACCGAGAGCATGTGGCAGCCCTGTGAGGTCATGCCCAGGATCCCGCGCATCAGCCTCAATGCATCGAGGCTTGAGGGTTTAGAGTTTAGGCGGTTTAGGCGGTTTAGGCGGTTTAGGGTTTAGGAGCCACAGGTCGCAGGCTGGAAATGAGAAATAAAAAACAAAACTCTACGATTCGAATAATGGTGGTGTCGAGAAGTACTGAGTTCTGTTGTGCAGGTGGTCAGCATGCACAATCATTCCTCCCAGACCATTCCATGACTCCCACAAAAGGCCCTGGACTTCGGCCTGCTACTTTCAGTGCATCTACTCCTCCTACTGGTGTTGGTTTTCGACCACTTCGGTTGCTTGTGCGAAACCATGACTGGTGATGGTGGTGATGATGCAGAAAAGGATGATTATTGTCATCAGAGCAGAATGATAATGAACAACTGTGCTGCTTTGCTACTCCTCCTCCTCCTCCCCTCCTTCTCTTCCTACTACTGCTACTGTGGCTGCAACCACCACTACCACTACCACTACGACTACTACTGTGACGACGATGCCTATTATAACAACGACGACGACGACGATGCATGCGACGACGACGACGACGACGACGACTACTGTTGCTACACTCTTCTTCTGGCTAAGCTAGTTCTGCGACCGATGCGAAGATTACTTCGTCTTAATTCATCAGCAGCAGCATCAGAATCATTCTTCATCACGACTATCACCATCACCACCACGATCGTCACCACAAACATGGTCATCATGCCATGCTCATTGCTCTCGCTTGTATGACTGGCTAAAATGTAGATGCCTCATGAAGCCAGGAGGCAAAAGCAGCTTGAGGCTACCGGGAATCTGGCCAAGGCCAGCACATGCCTCGCGCCGCCACAGGAGTATTGAGGACGTCACCGTCAGCTGCACGGAGTAGCGGGCCCAAAGAATCTGAGACGTGGGAAAGCTGCGACTGGCCTTGGAGAGCATACCCTTACAGTCTCTCGGTAACCCTCTTAGAGCACATTGTAGCAACGCTAGTAGTCCTTATCATTATAGGAACTCTTATAATAACGCTTATGATAACCCTTGTCATCAGAAACACGAATGTTCGAACCAACAGCTTCCTCAACCCGGGCCTTCCGCAGGCCAAAAGCTCCTGAACACCAGCGATGCCATGAAGTCCCGAACACCTCCTGGTCCTACCATTATACTATTCATATTCTACTACTTCTTTTTCTTTTTGTGATTGTCAATTTGTAGCACTACTTTGGCCTCCGATCTCTTCGAGGCGCAAGCTTCACGCAGAGGCTCATCGCCGCGTGGAAGGCGGCGCTGGCCACGAAGGCCAGGGCGGCCCTGGCGGGCTCGCGGCGAGGCCAGGGTTCCTGCCCGCTGTCTTCTTGGGTTTAATGTTTAGGGCTTAGGGTTTAGGGTTTACTTCTACATGGTTCTTGTGTTCAATACGATATGACATAGGACATAGGTCGAATATAGTTTAGCACCTGATCTTTTAGTTGCTTAATGAGAACATCTTTCGTTTTTTTCGAAATGTGCTACTAGTCTTGGTACTATTCGCGTGTAACGATATTTCGATGTAGCATGTTAGATTGCTCGCTGTTTCATTGGGTGGTGTTACTGTTATCAGGCTGGCCCCATCGCTCTCTTACCATTGGCACAGTAGAAGCTCCTCCTCCTCCTCCTCCTCCCCCTCCGCTACTACACCTGCCCAAGTAGTACCACCATTGTTATGTGAGTTCTGCCATTTCCAGCAAATACTACTCATCGTAAAACTACCTTGGAATTGCTGCTACTGTACTGTGAGTCGCATTGAGAGTCTGTCGTTTCATCGCTTCATGTAAGGGGGAGCCGCCGACCGAAGTGGAGAAAGAAGAGAACAGAGACGAGAGAAGGAGGACAATGTCCTCTGGCATGTCTGTCGGACCGTCGCAGGCCGCCGCTTGAGGGCTCTGGTTCGCTGGAACCTCGTCCGTCTCGGAGGCTTTGCCCAGAGCTTGGGGGCCATCCGCAGTCATTGCCAGGATGCCATGGCGAGCCTCCTGCCTTGAAACTCGACGCCTGATCCGAGATGTCCTCTGGAAACAGCCATGACTGCACCTGTGGAAGCCAAGGCCCCGAAACCCTAAACCCGAAAACTATTGCACGACCAACCTTTCTCTGCATTGAGCACCGGGCCGATGTACATCAGGATGTGCCCTGCCCTGGCTGCTTCCCCTGCCTGGCATAGTATATTCCAATAGGTTGGGTCTAAGACAGTTTCTGATGGTATGTTGAAGGCTAGCAGAACCATACTTTATTAACTCTTTATTACATAGGCTAGGATAGTCTTGTTAAGGTATTGCAACCAGCCCTGCGCAACTCTGCTGCTACACCAGCCTTCGTGGATGCGACGCCACTGTAGAATCGTAGTACCCGCATGACACCTCACGAGGCCCCCGTATTCCTGGAGTCTCCTGGGCTACCTGAAACCCGGTCCAGCCTTCAATGCTCCGGGAGAAGGACTGGAAGGAATACTGATAGCGGATGGTGTCCTAGACAGGCGCAGGGCCATTCGTAAAAAAAACGCTTGGGGTCCCTAACTGCCCATCCTCGTCTGCATCAGCCGGCAGCCAGATGCCCCTGTACATCAGCCCATCGCCCTTCCGCAGTGTACCTGAAGCCGCCAGGCTACGGAATGCTGCGGAGCCCGTGGGGCAGCGGCCGAGCGCACCCAACGGCTTCATGGGTTCACAGTTGACCACCTGCTTGCGCTGGAAAGTGCCAGCACCGGAACCTGCAAGCTTGGAGGCCGTGGGAAGTGGGACATAGTGACATACTGTTGATGATCTAAGTCCTGCATTGCCTAAAGGACCCTAAACTATGGGAATTATGGTATATTCCTTATTAAGGGTAATGCAGGATTTATATCATCAACCGTAGTGGGACTCTTGGGGTCCAGGCCGTGGGATGGCGACCATTCCACGCCATCCTGGAGCAAAGGATGCACACAGTCTCAGTCCTGTCATGTCGGGCTGCCCCGCCTGGATCCAAACTGTCTGCGGCGGGCTGCTGGCCTCATCACCACATCACATCACGATTCCCATCTTCCTAGTCTTCTGGACTGCCAGGGAGTGGAGTATGTTTCGCAGGTCGCTCTGAGCTGCCAGCCAGCAACTCCAGCGGGAATGCATCACAGCCTGGCTGGGGTCTGGCGTCAAACACTCCGGCTCAAGGAAGCACATGCCGGCCTCCTCTCTTTTCCGCTGCAGCCCGTGCATGATAGAGGATTTGCAGGGCGCCCACTATGCTGAAAACCAGCCTAATCGCGGGGCCAAGCCAGACAGAAGATTGCGTGAAAGCATCTGAGCCGTGCGCCAGGAGTAAGGGCTTTCTCGTGCAGTCCCCTGCAGAGTTTGAGACTAGCTGACAGGCAGGACAAAGAAAGCAGCGACAAATGCCAACACCCTCCCCTGTTGAAAAGATCGACCCCTGACAACAAAACATACTAGCCATGGTATACTACACGATAGCATCTTACTAGCTTCTACTATACCATACTATACTAGACTAAACTTTGCTATACTTTGCTATACTACTAAGCCATAAACCCTAAACCCTAAACTCTAACTTCATACACTCATAAACCCTAAACCCTAAACTCTAACTTCATATACTGTACTTCCCCATCGTCTCGGCCTTCGCATCCAGCAGCGCACGCAGCCGGCCCCGGCCGGCCCCGGAGGACTGAGCCTCTTCGCCCGCTTTTTTTTAGGAAGAGATGGGGTTTGGGGTCTTGGGGGTTTAGGGTTTAGGGTTTGGGGTTTTTAGGGTTTTGTGGTTTTCGGGTTTAGGGTTTTGGGTTTTGGGTTTGGGGTTTAGTATGAGCACGATTATTGATATTGTTGTTATTCTGGACTTTGGCTAAGGGCTTCCGTGAGGGATCGGACGGATCTCAGGTTTGCATGGATTGGAGCGTGGACTCCTGATGAGGGCTGTTGCATTGAAGATACTCTACACGGTTTCCTGATACTGCCAGGGTGCACTGCGGCACTGTCGCATAGAACCGCCGTCTAAATGAAGGTTCCCTTGAAAGCGTCTTGAGTTCACGCTTCCTCCACGGCTCTAGCGGCCCTGCCTTGAGCCGTTCCAACATTTCGTAGAGGTGCACCGTGTTGCGCACATACCTTCGCTCTGCGAGGCACCGTCACGGATTTTCGAGGGACCCGAGTCGCTTTGGAACCTGAGCTGCCGACATGACCAGAGGCAGGTACCTTGGACTCGCAGGTCAACTCGACATCCACTGCATGGCATGGACTCTTCCAGGTTTAAAGAGCGAACCCGAGACTCCAGTCTTCGTGCCTGAACATTTTATCCAGCAAAACACACTTTAGAAGGTCATGCTGCTAGTAATCATGGCCGCTCCTGCATCATCTCGGACCTAGTCATCATAGTACGAGTCATGATCAGAATCATACCATCATGGTTACGACCGTTATGCTCACCATCATCGTCATCATTAGCACCAGCACCATCATCAACCCCATACTCATAATCACAATCACACCAGCCATTATCGCAAGACTAACCATAACCATCCCCTTACTAGTCGGCATCATGAAAGTAGTAGTGGTAATCGTGACAAATACCAAAAATACAACTGAACCTTGATAGCCATCATGATCGGAGTACGATTCATCGTCATCATCGTCATCATCATCACCATCATCACCATCTCACATTCGTCATCACCGTCACCATCATGCGAACAAGCATCATCGCCATGATACGATGAGTAACAAGGTTGATGATGATGATGATGATGATGAGGATGATGATGCTGATGATGGTATGTGTTATCATCATCATCATCATCACCATCATCCTCATCATCAACATCGTCCATCGTCACCAGAATTTTCATCATCATCATCATCATCATCACCACCATCATCATCATCATCCCATACCAGTCACTCATTAAACTACTCCCAATCATGATGATCACAAGGCTAACAATCATCAGCATAGTACTAAAACTCAGTTTCATTAAAAGAACCAGCATCACGATCATACCAAGACTCATCATTCATCATCATCAACAACAGCATCGCCAGGCTCATCACCATCATCGTGACACATGCCGCCATCACATCATCAACAACAACATCATCATAAGTCTAACCATTGTACGTAGAATCAATCACCGGTCACCAGTGCCACAAATACTCATCATCATTATACTGACAATCCTCATCATCATCATCATCATCACACGAATGAGGCCAGTCTGCACGAGGCGGTGCCAAAGCTTCAGCTGCACGGGCCCGGTGGCGGGGTCCACTGGGAGAGCTTCCTGGCAGCTCTACAACGCCAAAAGCACCGCCTTTGGCAAAGGAATGTGTGTGTGTGTGTACATACGATTGGGTTGTGTCACGAAGTACCGTTATTGCAGGTCTCAGTGGTAGTAGATTCGGGGCAGTGATGCCCAAGGGCCCAAGGGTGCCGTCGCCAGTGCTGTGGCCCCTTGCAAGAGCCCCAGAAATACTTGTCTCACAGAGGAAACAACAGAACGAACATCTGCCTCGAACAAAGCCATTGCAACAGCAGGGTGGGAAGTTATGAACACACCGCAGGGCTGAACACATACACGGATTAGCGCGTGCTCCGTTTGTCAAGGTAGCTACTTCGCTGGTTCGCGACCAGCATGGGTTTTCGCCGTCGCTGCGTTGATCGATCCCTTTCTTCTTCTGCAGGGGTATGTGTGCGATCTCTGTCTCTCGCTCTGTGCGTCTGCATCTGCATCTGCACCTACGTGTAGTGTGCATGCTGGCAGATACAGATACCAAGAACAACCCAATAGTATATCACAGTGTGCGTTTACAGTCTCGCATACGAACCTGCATGAAGTCTCCGCCAGCTGTTGCATAGTCAATCTCACCGACGGTGTCCTTTGCAGTGGGCGAACGTGGGAATATGTCGGAATCCAGACTCTCTCACGGCTGGGGTGTCTACTTGAGCCGGCGCTTGGTCATCTTCTACCCTAAACCGTATGCCTGGAGACTGTCCTTCAAAAGCTGCTCGCACTGCTCCTGCCGGGGCAATGGGCAGGAAGCTCGAGGAACAGAGTGCTCTTTGCACAACACTACAGTGACTACAGCCAACACCCCTCGACTTTAAACACTGAGACCTCAATCCTAAACTTCGGAAACCCTCTATGAGGCTCTATACAAACCCCCCTCCACTCAATGTATTTTAATATATTATATTATGTTATACTATATTATACTATATTATATAATACTATATTATATTATGCTATATTATATAATACTATATTATATTATACTATATTATATTATATCATATAACATCAAAAGCAAAATTTACCAAGGCCCGCCTCCAGCTCTTTGAGAGCTCCTCGCTGCGCTCCCGGCGCGGGGCCCAGCGGGTCCGCCATGGTCTCCAGGTCGCGCAAGAAGGTCGCCAGCAAGCACCTCGTATTATAGTAATATAGTATTATAGTATTATAGGATTATAGTCATTATAGTATTATAGTATTTTAGTATGTTGTGTGTGTGCGGAGCGGGGGTTAGGCTTTAGTGTTTGGGTTCAGGCTTTAGGGTTTGGGGGTTTGGGGGGAGGGAAGTTATGGGTGGGCTTGAGAGTAAGGGTCCTGGGTTTACCATTGAGCTTCAAAATTTAAGCTTTGGGGGTTCAGCTGGGGGCCTTTGGATTTGGCCAGCGCTCCGCAGGGGACTCAACCATGTGGGCGTGTCAGAGAAAAATGGAAAACGTGTAACATAATCTTATAGTAACTCGCCCTCCACGCCATGTACCATACAGCCCTGAACACTAAAGGACGCAGAGTCCATTCGAGTTGCTTTTCATGTGTTTGTTTTGCCCCTGCTTTGCGAACTGACTGCTTGTTCCGACGCCGTGCTCCCACCACCCTCGGCGTGCTCTCCTTGCAAAAAACCATTGCTTGGGCGCCCGCCCACTTCCTCAATTGCGCGCCCGCACATACTGAGCCGGAAGCCCCGCTTCCCCCCTGGAGTCCCGAGCGGCTTTCAACCTCCACAAGCTGTCAAAGATGTCGTATATGCTACATAGGAAAACCTGAGACATACAAACATATGTATGTGTGTATGTGTGTATGTACAATGTACACACACATACACACAAAGCTACAATACTGCTACTACATAGGCTCGGATGCTCCAAGACCGCAACAACCCAGGAAGCCAGCAGCCGAGAAGCCAGAAAGCCAGGGCCAATGGGTGACAAGGCCGGACAGCAGCAAAGCCAAGAAGCGTAAAGCCGAGAAGCCGACAAGCCGCCAGACAGGCCCCATGCCAAAGGCAAAAAGTACAAAACACGTTCAAACGAATGATGAAACATGCCCTAAACGCTGAACCTCGAGCCCAGCCGCTAATTCCCCAGAAAGGCCCTATTCTACAAAAGCTGGCTCACGGCACCTGGCGGTGGCTTCGTTCTCGGCCTTTGCACCATAGGGCGACGAGCGCTGGCACTTCGGCAGCGCTTCGAAGATGCCTCGAAGGGTCTGGGGCTGAGGGGTTCTCGGTTTTGGAGTTTAGGCTTTTTAGGGTTCTGGGTTGAGTCTGAAGCTCTCATCTAAGCCGAAGCTCGGCTCTCAGAAGGAGCACCACCAGAACCCCAGCCGAATCGTCGGACATGCATCGAGCATTGACCGTTATTGGTCTTTGGGAAAAGTTTTCGACGATCCACCTTTGTCGTAGTGCTTACCTTGTACCTACTAAACTACAGACTGTATTCCGTAAACTACGGCGTATATTACATGCTGCAGTGATAATACGATATTGTATGTACACACACACACACTCGCACGCGCACACACACACACACCGTGCGCACGCTTAACTTGGCTGAGTCACCTGCCATCCCCCGAAACCAGGCGCCACTCCCCTCCTGGCAGCTGAAAAGCTTCGATCATCCACCTCTCCGCTCGCAGTGTTCCATGTCGACCGCTTCAAGCACCAACACCCCAAAGAGAGTACCCCCTCGTGGGATCGCTCGGCGCGCCTTGGCCAGAGCTCGGAGCATGGCCGCGAAGTCCTCTGCCGCGGCTTCATGAGCGTCCGCGGGGTCAGGGAAAGTCCTTAGAAAGGCTTTAGGGGTCCAGGCTGTAATGTTAAGGGTTTAGGATGGTTTAGGCGTTGGCTTTAAGGGTGTGGGATATAGGCCCGGCTCCTGGGCCGAGACCCTTCTGGGTAGATCCGAGCAGCCATTCTACGTAAGGGGCACGGTCAGGACTCCAGGTGACCTCCAGCCACTTCTTCCTGGGTTCTTGTTCGGCAACTTAATCTAAGAGTTCCCAAAAGAACTGGCAGACGACTGATTGAATCTCTGCTTTATGCGCCAATTTATGCCAAGCTGTCACAATCTATGAGGCCCATTAATCAGAACCTAGCTTCCCGCCAACCTCTGCTCGCCAGTTCAAACCATGGCCCACGTCGGGTCCGGCCAGGCCATCGCCTGCCACGGCCCCATGAGGAACTTGTCGAAGGCAAGATTTGGGGCTTAGGGTTTAAGATTTAGACACAAATATCCACTAATCCATGCTGGCTGAGGCACATGTACAGGTACATACATAAAATCTGGCATGGCAGGCGCATATGTATGTGCACACCCATATACAGATACATGTACACATCTATACACCTGAGCGTCAACATGCCAGCATGTATGGATGCCCTCTGTCTCTGTGTGTTTGTGTGTGTGTGTGTGTCTGTCCGTCTGTCTGTCTGTCTGTCTGTCTGTCTGTCTGTCTGTCTGTCTTTGTGTGTCTGTCTCTATGCGTGTGTATATATCTATATATGTATGTATGTATGCATGGATGGATGGATGGATGGATGCATGCATGCATGCATGCATGCCTGCATGAAGGTATGTGTGTGTGTGTATGTGTGTACGTACGTACATACACACATACATACATACATACATACATACATACATACATACATACGTACGTACATACATACATACATACATACATACAGATCCATCAAACTCTCCATCCATCATCCAAACAGACAGACATACGCTTTCATACATGCATGCAGCGCATATATAGCATGATGTAGTCTAGGAACCCAGTGGCATTCCCGCAAGAACGTGAGCGGGAAAGTAGCAATGCCGCTGTTGGTGTTGCAGGTACGAAGGATATCGATTGCAACAGGCTCCGACATCATACCACTACAGTTTCATCATGAGAACACGAGGATGACTTCGTTGAGCATGTATCTCCTACCCCATCCCCGACCGGAAGACTCAGAACGCAGCGCTATGACACGGCCTGATGAGGTGGGGTGGAAGCGCCGGTTCCAGTCCCGAGCCACGACGACCTGGAACTCCACCCGCTTCATGTCCAAACCAACCTTCACCTTCGTCCGGAAAGAGTCGCCAAAAGGTAGAAACTCTGCAAAACCTGCACAGGGCAACGGAACCCTAAATACTTCAGTAAACCCTAAACCCCGCCGATTTCCATTTTGTGGTCGGAGCGGACCTTTCCAGTTGTCCCAGGAGCCGACGAGGAAGAACGGGCCTCTATTTGAGGCCTGGTTGCGCGGTGCGGAGCGTGCTTTGGCTCCCTTCTTTGCCGCGACTTTCTTCTCCCCGGCTTGTATTTCCTGCTCCGCGGCATTCAGAAACTTCCAGGTGACCTTTCGCCCAAGCACGTCCCAAAGGATCTCTAGCTGCATGCAGTCGGAAGGCAGTGGGGTGACCCGAAAGTTCCTTCCATGGGCATTTCCGGGGCCCTCCACGCCCTCGCCATGCGCTGTGGGATAGTATCGGGCTGCCCAATCCTGGCCCTGCAAGATCTGGAACTCCTGGCCGCGTGACGCAACATGACGGCGCGAGAACTCCTAGGGTTGCCCTTGCTACGGCGAGGAAGAAAAAGGACCTCAAGCCTCCTTGTTGAATCAGGGCGCGCGGATTCCTGTTTCACCAGTGAAGCTCTCTCCGCGACAATAGCTAGGTTCCTGAGTGACCCCATAATAATAAGGGCATCCTTTTTCCTGTTATTCGGTTTTAATAAGGGAACCATAACAGCAAAAGGGCAAAAGGGTACCACACTCAGGAACCTAGATAGAACTAATTACGTTGCTGGCCGCTGCTCCAAGTTCAGCTCACTGGGTTTGTGTGTGTGTGTGTGTTACCTCATGTCTTCTTTGAACCATCAACGCTTTTCCACTCAAACCGCTGAGTGAAAATGATAGTTTACAATACATCCCTAAATCCTAAACCCTAAGCCCTAAACCCTAGACCCTAAATGAGCTTCTCTGTTCAAGTCTCAGCTTTCCTCGGTCCTCCAGACCTGGGGGCCGTCGTATCGGCACGCGGGCCACGAAGGACCCGCTTTGTCCAGAGCGGCTCAGTGGCACGAAGCCTGGGCCGCTTCTGGCTTGGCAACACGGTTTAGGGTTGAGGGTTTTCGGGTTCAGGTTTTAGGGTCCAGGGTTTGCGGTTTAGGGGGTCCAACTATATCTCTCTTTGGCTATCTCGCGCTCTCTCTCTCTCTTGCTTGCTTACTAGCGGCTACGAGAGGGTGCACCCGTAGGAACCCCCCCCCACGCGCTGCGCGCAGCCGTGTTCCAGGTCTTCTGAGGTTAGCTATGTTAGCCATCCCCAGCTCGGCGTGAAAAGGGCTTCAACAGCTCTCTCTCTCTCTCTATCTATCTCTCTCTTCTTCCCCAGGGCATGAGGGGTCTGTCAAACGCCCCGGCCAGTTGGCCCCCCAATTGTTATGGGGCTTTCGGAGGGTGTGAAAGGTTGTTTTCCCGCTGGTTCTAAGAATTTTTGCCAGCAACTGAAACAGTGCTGTTGGGACACTATAACATTGTTTTTGAGGGTAATGTAAAGTATTGCACATGAACAGGTTCAAATGGGTCCCCCGATGCACTGATCCAGTATGTGTTGGGACACCAAGACGTCTGTTGTGGGGATTCCATGGATACTGCTAAATGGACAAAACCCGCTACATTCCCCGCATAGACGTCCAACTCAAATTCTCTGCTTCATTGCATGCCCCCGGAGGTGAACATCCTTGACTACAAGAGGACAGCCCGGACGTAGTAAGAACCTGCCTCGAAGTAACCTGATCCTCTCTCTCTCTCTCTTGCTGTCTGCCGTCTAAATGTACTTATCATATATAAGCACCTGTATCTAGACCTACATGATGACCGCGAAAAATGCAGAACACTAAAGTGCATGATGCAAACATGCTGTTGTGTATGCGGTATCAAGCGCTACAATACGTGCTAGTACTAGGTCCACAGAGACGTACGAATGAACACAGCATTACGTGCTGCCCAATCCCATGTTAAAGGCTTGTCGTACAGACATACTCTAAAGCACCCAAACAAGAATTACATCTTGTGACTATGATACTTCCGGCGAACACCACATCCTGAACAAACTCGGGACATGATCAACATACGTGCGTGTGTCCCAACAGTATGTTAACTACGTGACATGGTAGATACCATGTCGTTGGGAATCCCCTAGCTCAATTCAATGTACCAACGTGCGCATCATCACCATACAAACGATATAATAGTGATACTGACAACACTAGTAATTGAGGCAAGCCATGCAAAGTTAAAGCCTGCAGAGAAGCTCAAGACCCGAATGCGGAGGCTCACCTATCCTTTGCCAGGAGGCTTTTCCAATCGTCCCAGGATCCAACCAAGTTAAAGCCTTCCTTCGGATATCCATGTGACATCGGCTGCAGAGCTTGAGCAATCTTCTTCAGGGACGAGCATGCGCATGGTACCTAAAAGCTGACTTTCGAAGCCTGCCACTGCTACACCATGCAAACAAGCTGAGCCGCAGCTTTCAAATCTCAGGTTTGCAAGCGCTGTATGGGACTTTCCGAAAATTAGGGTACCTTATTTTGGGATCCTAAAAATGGGGTTCCGACCTATTTAGGGCACTATATTCGGGTCCCCTGTTTTCGGAAACCCCCGTATCAACAGAGCGCAAGTGAGCAAGTGGACAGGCTCTTGACTTCCAAATGCTCTCGTGCGCATCCCGATCCCTTACACCATAGATCCCTTATAGATCCCTTGTAATACAGATCCCCTGACATTATAGATCCCTTATAGATCCCTGATACTATAGATCCCCCCATATTACAGATCCCCTTCTAGACTCCGAGACAACATGTCGTGCACTGCAAGCAATCTGTGCTTTCGGCCAGTGGCTGCAGTCCCTGCTGCTGCAAAGCCAGTAGCTCCTGGCCTGGGCTGGGTTTAGTTATCGTTGCTCTTAGGGTTTGGGGCTTCGGGTTTAGAGGTTGAGGGTTGAGGGCTTAGGGTTTCGGATTTGGGGTTTAGGATTTGGGAGTTTAGGGCTTTAGGGCTTAGAGTTCAGACTGGTGAGCCAGGCTGAGCTTCGGGATGATGACGCTCAGCGCTCGGAGGGTTTAGCTTGATCCCGGATTCTACAGGTCGCTGTGGGTCCTCGACAAGTCAATAATAGCACGTTCCAACAAGAATGTGTGCTTCTAGAGAAGGCACAGATAGTGGAAACACAGTAAGTTTCTGTTTCCATAGCATCAACTTGCTGTTAGCAGGGTATGCGCACTAATGTATTACAGCATTCATCCCTAAACCCTAAACCCTAAACCCCTAAACCCTAAACCCTAGTTTCAAAGGACTCAGAGCACGCCCAGCGCCCGGCCCAACAGCAGGGCCGCGGCGGAAGAAGCCCCGTCGTCGGCCTGCGGTTGCCATTCCCCAATACATCGAAACATATTCGTACTCTCCTGGTAACCTCGTCGTAATTTTCTAACACGGTCATGCATACTTTACCGTGGACCTTAAAGTCAAACTTCAAGACCTAAACCGCGGTATCAGCTCATCACCAGCCCTGGCACCCGCGGCCTCGCTGGCCGCGCCGAAGGCTCGGCAGCGCTGAGGGTCTGCACAAGCTTCGAAGATCTGCAGTACCTGAAATTACTCAGGGTTTTTTTATGGTTTAGGGGGGTTTGGGGTTTAAGGTTAATACAAATGCGGAGGAGTGATAGCGTGAAGAAGAGTAAAGTACGGTCATGATGCGGACGGAGTACCTCGAGTCACGACAGCACTATGAAGCGTAATCATAGCAATGATCACCATGTTAGTGGTAGTCCTAGTCGGTAGAAGAATAAGAAGAAGTAGCAGTAGTAGTAGTAGTAGTAGTTGTTGTTGTAGGAGGAGGAGTAGTAGGAGTAGCGGGAGCAGCAGCAGCAGCAGCAGGAGCAGCAGGAGCAGCAGCGGCAGCGGCAGCTGCAGTGGCAGCAGTAGGAGGTGGACAAGCAGCAGCAGGAGTCAGGACAGTAGGAGCGGTAGGAGCAGTAGGAGTGGTAGGAGTGGGAGTAATAGAGCTAGCTGCAGGAGTGGCAGTTAGAAGCAGTTGTGGTAGCTTTAGATGCAGCTGTAGTTGTAGCTAGATAGAGATGTACCCATTCCGTACATACGCTGTAGACTAAGGGCCTGGCCGACCCAAGTGGCAGCTGCTCAATCTGGAGGACCAAGGTCTCTTGCTTTGGGCCGCGCTCCTGAGACACGCTTCGGCACTTCTCGCTCTGGGGTAACCTGGGGTCTCTGGCTCAGGATTTGGGCGCACTTAACTAAACCAGAGACCCTGACCACCTCCTGATCGTTCCACTGTTCACAACATGGCTTCAACTCTCAGGACATACATGCGGACCTTCGACCTGATTATGTGTTCTCCATGTCTGTCGGAGTCTCGGAGCCCTGCGATGCAAATCGTCTACAGAAGTTTGAAGGCCAATGCGGCTGGCCTATCTAAGGCGTCATTACAAAGCGCGGATGTCCTCAGCACGCAAAAGCCCTGCAGTGACATGGCCAAACCTGGGAGCCCCTCACGCCTTCCAGCCGTGAACGAGGCAGGATTACTCAAGACTCAAGCCGGTCACTTCCCGTCACTGCGTCTACTGTGTTTTATTCACAGCATCTCCTAGAGCAAGCACCGACAAGAAAGAGACTCCGTCCCTGTTCTCCCTAGCCTCCAAACTGAAGCACCGTGCCCGACACAGAAGCCTACGAGCAGAGAGCAATCCTCCAACACCACCGCAGCGTCGGAGATGGCGTCCGTCTCCGGCAGGAGCACAGCCACCCGGAAGCACCGTTGGCCCTTGAGCCTTGTGGCGGACTTTGTGGAAGGCAAAAGCTTTACGTGAGGTTCCATCTCGTCTAGGCCTAAGCCCACTGAGGCTCCCACTCCAGCAGCACCGCATCTGCTGAGGCGAAGTGGTCCGTCTTGAAAACCCGGAGAATCCGCCTCAGCAAAGATCAACTTCAACAGAAAAACTTCTGACGACAGCTGGAAGCTCATGACTCGAAGTATCACATGAAGAAGTACAACAACAAGAAGAGGAGGACAGACACTGGTAGTCATGATGCAGGTAACAAGAGGCGATGTTGTCGCAGTACCTCCTCAATATCACTGATCAAAACGCTCCTTCTGACACTGTCACTGCTGTTGCTGCTGCTGCTGCTGCTGCTGCTGCTGCTGCTGCTGCTGCTGCTGCACTGCTCCTGCTCCGACGGGCTGACGCACTACTCACTACTACTTAGGGCTTACTACTACTTGGCATCTTATTATACTACTTGATACCCTAAGCCCTGGAGCTACTTGGTACTACGGGACACGTGCACAGCGCTCGCATTTTCCCCTGCTCTGCATCGCGCAGCAAAGAGTGCAACTCGTTGTTCGCTGGATGCCTCACAGACCGCAAGCTGCCACGCTGGGGTATATGTGTGTGTTTGTATACTGTGTGTGTATATATATATACATATATATATATAGTTATACGTGCATACATACATACATATATATGTATATATATATACATACTGTTATAAACAAGTACATATATACAAAAATATGGGAATTCGATACTGGACAGACAGACAGACAGACAGACAGGCAGGCAGGCAGGCAGGCAGGCAGGCAGGCAGGCAGGCAGACAGGCAGACCGAGAGATTGATTCATTGATTGATTGATTTCATAGGGGTTCATCTGTTTATATATGCATACACACACACACATATATATATATGTATAATGTATTATGTTTGCTAAGACTGTACACGGTTTTTTGGGAGGGGGAAAACAAAGCACAGCAGTTGCGCATGAAGAAAGGGATAATGACCCCGCGATTTCCTTCTAGATGTCAGGTCGACCCCCTGTACCGTGCAGACAGTGACGAGGGCACCTGGAAACTGCCAGTTCCAGCGGTGACTCCTGCTTTAGGGTTTAGGGCTTCGAACTGTTGGCAGGAAGAGCTCGAAGTTTATGCAGCATGATCCTAGGATCTTCCAGCAGCAACGAAGGTACGTTACTTCCACCTGCAAACCATCTCGGGAAATAGCTACGACCGGAAGACTGGCGCAACTCTGGGCGACTACCACTACTCCACTGCCGCCTGCGAAATTTCAGTGCTCCTTCAACCGGGACGCTTGCCAGACAGGCCCCGAAGTCCCGTGTCCTGGGCGAGCCGCGTTCGCCTTTCGTGCAGTGAGGCAGAAACCTTCGGCCTGAGCTTCCGCGACAGCTGGACCCCAGCAGCCAGCAGGGCCTATAGGGCCTTCGGGTTTAGTGACATTCAGGGTTTAGGGTGTAATATTTAGGCCTGAAGGTTTAGGGCTTGTAGGGTTTAGGGTGTAACTATTTGGCTCTCTCTGGGGAGAGGGGAACACTGCTGGTATCATGAAGCCGAGCCAAGTGACGGCTGCGGATCGCAGGCCGCTGCCAACAGTGCTGCCACCACCGCGGCATCACCAGACAGGGCCGCCCAGTGGAGGGGTGTCCTTGGGTTTAAGTTTATAAGAGCTGTGTGCTTCGCACGACTGAGAGTTGAGATGGGACTGAAGTTCGGATCTCAAGAGAGTCGGATGAAGCTTTCATTTTCTTAAGGCATTTTCAGCTCTAGCCTTCCCAGGTTGTGAAGCTTGCGTCTCGGGTGCCTTGCAACTAGGGAAATCGAACCGATTTGAGATTGGCGTCCGCAGCTGCTTGTCGCGACAGTCCACCTCGGCACCGTGCTGAACGGCCAGGTGGATGACATCCACCTGAGATCGTGAGTTGAGGCGGTCGGCTTCTGCAAACCTCTTGCTGACTTTGGCTGCTAGACCAAACAACATCGAAAGCTTGGTGCAAGCGGGGCGGCACATGCGGAGCGGGCTGCATAATGCAAGAGGGACTGCTTCGAAGCATCGCGCACGCAGGCGGGAGTCCCGTTCTCCAACAGTGCACGCAGTGCACTGGCATTCCCGGCGGCTGCCGCCACTTGGGCAGGAACTGCCCCTGCCTCCGTGGCCTGCGTGACATGAGCTCTGAACGCCAGCAGCGCTTCCACCACACATCCGCTGCACCGCTGGGCGGCCCAGTGCAACGGGGCCGTCCCGCGCTGCCGTCGCTCCAAGCCTCCAGTCGCTGAGGCCCGGGCCAGCAGCAAGGCTCGGACCAGCGCCTCCCGGCCGGTTCGAAGGCCACTCTCCAGAGCTCGAGGCAAGTCGGCTCCATCGGCTCCAGGGTCCGAGTCCACAGCCTCTGTCTCTTTGCCAACCCGAACGCCGGCTTCGACTAGGAAGGATGCATAGTTCCGGAGCACAGGTCGCTCGAGAAGAGCGCAGGGGGCGAAGGGGCCCCCATCGCACAAGCCGAAATGGCACTCGGCATCGCCGGCTCGTTCGGGAGGTAGGAACAAGGAAGCATCTCCAGCAGGATTACGCCAGTCACTGGTACCCTCAGCCCACTTTGCCTTTCCACCACCACCGCCATGCAGCACCACACGCAGGAGGCGTGTTACACGAACTGCATGCACACTACCTCCTCCAAGCAAATAGAAATCCGCTGCAGGACCCAGCTGGTGCTTCAGTGAGAGCTCCGAGGTCCATGCCACAGCGATGGCTTCTTCCAGAGGCGACAGAGGCTCTCTCTCGACGTCTTTCTCCACTTCCGCGTCGAGCTGGGGAGCTATGAGAGATCTCCGGTCAATCTTCCCGTTGGACGTGACAGGCAGAGTGTCCAGGGCCACCAGCCTCGGAGCCAACTTCTGCCCTCCGATGATCGACAGACCACCAGCAGCGCGGGACACACAACCCCAAGTCCTAGAATCCTCGAAACCCGATTACAAGTCTCAACCCGAAACCCCATCATGGGTCTCGCCAAATCCTCGAAGCCCCATTATACGTCCCGAAACAAACGAATGCAACACAAGATCGAGTGGTTGGCCTCCTGGGTCGCATGATCCGCGGTAGGTGGCTGTCACAGTGGGCCATGAGCGCCAAGTAAGCCAAGCCATCCAAGGCCTCGCCTTTGGCCAAGACGACGAACGCTAGCAGGTTGCCCTGAGATCTTGCGGTGCATCACGAAATCTGATTGTGCATGTGTATACAGTGTATATACCATGCATGCACACACACACACATCCATTCATACATACATCATGCAAAATTGCGGCATCCTGACGAAACTCTTGAACGCTCTTGTGAGAAGCTATTGAAACTTCTTGTAACTTTCTAGGCCTCTAGGCAAATGCAGGCAAGAAGCCTGATCTCCCCAAGGCATGGCGGCGCACTGAGAAATGAGCGGGCTCATGCCCAGCAGCTGCTCCACTTCTCCCAGCTCGATCCTCTCTCCGTTCAGCTTCACCTGGGAGTCCCTGCGTCCGAGAACCTCCAGGCAAGGATGCGAGCCCAAGGAGGCAGCGAATCGCCCAGAGTCGCCGGTATGGTATTGGCGACCTCCGCCAGGCAGCCTCCGAAACCGCTCCTCCGTCAAGGCTGGCAGTCCAAGATAGCCACGGGCCAAGCCGGGACCACTCAGGCAGATCTCGCCTTCCTCAGGTTCTTCTTCTTCAGGCTCCTCCCAAGCCACAATCTTCAGCTGTACTCCGGGCAAAGGCCAGCCGGCCGTCTGTGGCCGCGTCTCCGCAGTCATCTGCATGGCTGTTTGGTAGACGGTGGCCTCCGTCACGCCGTAGACGTTCCTCAGATGCAGGAGCGGCGCCCACTTCTGGATGATGGCCGGCGGCATCTTCTCCCCACCAAGTGCCAGGACCCGCAGATGTGGAAGTTCGGCATCTGGGTCGACTAGACGCCACAACGCCGGGGTTGCACACAAGTGGCTGGCCTGCGATTGGCAGAGGACCTCTGTCAAGTCCTGTAGCAAACGCACTCGCGGTACCAGGGCAAGCACCGCGCCGGAGACCAGTGCACAAAAGATGTCGCCCTGGCAAGGATCAAAGGTGAAGGCTGCCGTCAGCATGAGACACGAGGATTCGTCGACACCCTCTGCAACTGCCTTGGACAAAGCATACCAAGCAGCTTGGCGATGTTCACACAAGACGCCTTTGGGCTTGCCGGTGCTCCCGGATGTAAACTGCACATAGCAAAGATCATCGGGAGCAGGGTATCCAAGCTCTTCTGTCTCTGCAGTTACAGCGGTGGCCCCCAGCACCTCCCAGCCAAGGCTCGTGGCTGAAACAGACAAAGCCGACAAAGCACGGAATCCGATCCAACAACTACTCCTTGCAGTACCCCTTATAGCCTTATAGTAACAATTATGGTAACCCTTGCAGCAACCCTTGTAGCCAGAAGGCGATACAGTAATCCTATACATATCACACCCTTTACACTTAGCGCTTCCATGCTGCCTCCTCTGCGCTCACCAGGAGGCAGCCCGCTGGCGGGTAAATGGAGCCCAGGGAGGCTGCGAAAGCCAGCAGCAAGCCTGCACCTGCACTTAGCTCACTTTGGAGACTTTGGAGGCTTCAAAAGCAGGCTTACCACAAGGTTACTATACGGTATAACTACAGCGCAGCCGACGTGGGAAACGGCTGAACTGAACCGCTTGGGTGATGCCTGCTGAAGTCAGCATCACCTCCAGGCGTCCCGGCGGCTGCCGAAGGTCCAAGGGCAAGAAGAAATGCCTCGCCTGGATACCGGAACAGACAAGACAGCACGGTGTAGGGTATAGTGCTTAGGGATTTTAGTGTAGCACTTGATAGGGTGACATCGAAAAGCATCTGAAAACTCCGTGCTTCTATTCACTATCGTAAGCCCAAGTCCAGATCTTGACACTCAAGGTTTCAGCTTGCCACACCTCCATCACGGCCAGTTGCAGCACGACCATCGCCGGACCTTCATCCACACCAAGCGCCACACATGCACCTTCAGTGTGAAACGAAACATCGCATATATCTGTATCCGCAAAGGCACTGTCGCCAGAATCCAAAAGCTTCGACTGCAGCCCCCCCCTCCCCAAACGTGCTCGACTCTGAACCAAGCACCCGAGGCAAGAGGAAGATGGCGCTGCAGCGCCGCTGCGGCACGGCTGGCCGCTGCCGCCAGGTCCTTGCGCGTCCATGCCTGACAGAGGACTCACGAGGGTGTTCACCAGGGGTTTAGGGTTCAAGCTATGGTTTCACCTTAAGGCTCTAGGGTTTATACAGGCGCAAGCATTTTGGTATGCGGCAGTCACCCGGCGATGCTCCGGGAACGTATTCCGGGCACAAAGCTGAAGGTCTAGCGGCTCATGGTCTTCGCCCCGGTCTGTAGCCGAAGGCGAGTCAGGCTGCAAATCTACCGGGAGCTTCTGGCGCTCCCAAAACGAGCAAAGCCATAGCACCGCCCATGGCTCTGCACAACCACGACTAGGAAAGATACTGCTTCGATAGTGAACCAGGCTGACACACACACACACACATGGAATCAGTAAGGCATATACTAGTAAGCAAATCCATTGGGAGTTGTGCTGCTGTGGCGTTGCCGTTTTGCAACCGACCCTGCCGCAGCTACTTTGTAACTTGTAACCATTGTAACCCCAGATTCACACGAGATGCAATGCTAGTGAGCGTAGCACTTGAAATCCAAGCTGTGCAAAACGTCACCACCCGAAACACAGCTGAAAGCACACGGCCCTGATCCCACTGCCGCAGACAGTTCATCATGAACAGCTCATGCCGGCCCCAAATCGGATTGCAAAGTGTCCGTTCTCAATTTTTTCAGGTCTCCGGCTGCCCAAGCTACTGGCAGCGGGCTGCAGGAACCGATACAGACAGTATAGACGCAGATCGCTGCTCTTCATCCTAGTTCCTAAGTTCCATGATCCCTTCAAGCAGAACAGCACCAGCCCCAGGCCCTTCCCATGTGTCCGAAATCCTCTACCCCGATGCTTTGCCCTTATAGTCCCTCTATTTAATACGAGCATATACCCCCTAACACATTGTTCTTGTTCGTACTCTCAATTGTCATAGTTATTGTTAACCTTGCTAGATTTTTGTGATAATTGTTCATACAACATTAAGATTGCTATTGCCGTTGCTATCGCCACTGCTTTTGCCATTGCGATTGCGGCTGCGATTGCTTTTGCCATTGCTATTGGTATTGTTGTTGCTATCGTTCCTGCTATGGTTACTATGACTGTTCTTAGTTTTGTTGCTATTGCTTCTATATCTTGATTTCTATGTTTACTATTCTTGGTCGTTTCCGCATTTTCTTTATGATCTTTCCAACTGTACGTCGCGACGTCTTCCCCGAGTTGCCTCGGAAGTACCCGGAACGCGCAAAGCCGTGGCCCAGGGCTCCACCGCGCAGCGGCGCCCGAAAAGCTCGGTGAGGGACGCCTCGTCGGGTTTGTTGGGGGTCCCAGGGTTTAGGGACTCTGGGTTTAGGGTTTTAGGGATTAGGGCTGTGGGGTCTCTATGAGAGTTCTATGAGTTAGAGGGCTACTAAGGGAGATCGTGGATACTACATGATACTACGATATGCAGGTTACGAAAAGCGTCACCTTTATATGAGTTAGTATAATGCTGCAAGGGTTATATACTGCATTCGGGTTGCCAGAAGGGTTCCTTAAAGGGTTTTGGTTTGGGTGCTCGGGTATGCTCGAGTGTAAGTTTTAGAATCGTGCAATGCTTTTCGGGTTGCATTTCGAGGATTCGAGGTTCAGCATCCGAAACGATGTTGCCATTCTTGCCAAAATTTCGCATGCTGGAATCATGATCTGCCGGACATGCCACCGCAGACCCAACTTCCGATTCTGACATCGCGAAACCGGAAAACTAAAGCCCATCCCCCGAAACATCTCTTTCCCGCCACGCGGACGGATCGTCTGCAGCTAGGAAGGGGCTCAGGGATCGATGGACCCGGCCGAACATGAATCCGCACTTGACGCCTCGCACGCGTCCGGAAGTGGCCAGTGGCACTCCAGCCAGCCATGGCTTTGAAACAAAGCCATCCGAGGGGTGGTGTTCGATGCTTTTCGTGTTCAGGGCACTAGTCAAACTGGGGTCCGGGCCTTTACGATTTCGGGTGATCTCGGGTATAGAACCGACAATCGCGAGAAGGGTCGGGGACTCGAGCGCTGTTCTTGCCATCAGCAGCTATGTCCGTTTGTTCTTCTGGCTCCCGTTCCTTCTTGCGTGTGCGTGTCATCAACTATTAGGAGTGACGCAGGATGTTCCCAGTAGCTCTGGCACTTTCAGCTGCGAGAAACGACGATGCAAGGATGCTTCTTGGAGCCTCTAAGTCGAGTCTACACATTTCGGATTCACCCGGCTCGGTAAGATCGAGGCTTCAAACTCCAGATTCAAGTCGGTGTAAGAGTTTAGTCTCGAACACAATTACACATGCTGAATCATCACAGCGTGGTCGCCATGAACACGGTCTCCGGAAAAGCTTTCTTTGCTGCGACTGGGATAGCAAATGTCTTCACATCATTGTGGGCCTTGGGGGTTCGGGTTCAGGGTTTAGAGCACCGTGGGGCTCTTGGTTTTGCTTCGCGGCCCATTGCAGGTCCTTTCCTCACGCCAGCTTCTTCCTTTTGCCATTCGGCTGCGCCAGAAAGCCCGCAATGTCGTAGTCCTGGAATTCATCTCAACACAGAATGCGCACAATCCCTCCTGATCCTGAATGCCCAACAGCGCGTTACAAGTAGGCTTGAGCTAGCAGGGCATTTAGGCGCAACTGCAACCTGATTACCGAATCCCCTGAACCTTATGTGTAGTTTAAAGACACACCCAAGACCTAAAGCCCCATGGCATGCTTTCCACCACCCCCCTTCCCCCCCACAAGATCTAAAGCCCTGCCCACCCAAGCCCGAAGCCCTGAACTCTGAAATCCCAAACCCGAAACCCAACAGACAGCTTTGACCGCCTGGCCTCGGGAACGCTGCAGCGCTTCGGCACAAGACCTTTGTCGGTCGCGATGCCTGCGGATTTTCATGAGGCAGTTCAGCGCTGCGGGTGTGTAGGCCATGGGTTTGGATTTAGCACTGCGGGCCCAAGGGCATTCGGGATACTTCAACCCCTGACTCTAGAGCGTTTGAACCCGTACCCAAGAGCCCTCAAGAAGTTCTTGTCCCAAACCCCAAACCCAAACCCCAGATCCCATATCCCGAAACTCCGAACCCGAGCCTGTGATCAGCGAGGCCGGGGTAACGTCGAAGGCAGGATTCCTTTGAAGGACGCTTCTTCCTAGTGCTTGGTCTTCTTTGGACATACACTACCGGCCAGAAAGTTGGAACATGGTCCTCATGGCCGAACAAAGGTACCTTACAAGAAATCCTAACACTCATCACCCTCATCTTCCAACCTTTTGCCGTTTACGCTAGAAGATGCAGGCCCGTGCATTTTGGGGTTTTGACGGCTTTAGGGATGTGGGCCAAGGTTTAGTTAGTTGGCTGTTGAACAAATCCCGGTGTTCAAGGCACGATTGCCTCTACTAAATTCTATCCGCGTGTCCACACTTCGATCCCTGGTGCAGCCAGTCTGTGCGACTCTCCATTCAGCTTCAGGCAGCTCAACTCGTCTCCAGGACGTTCCTGGCACGGGGTAGACGTGCGAGCGACCCCTCGAAGCACGAGCAGATCGTGCTCGACCACAGCAGCATGAAGCAAACGGGCTGCTTTCTTCGCCTTTTGTAATGATTGGGTGAAACTGCGACATGGTTCCGTCAAGAGGTGACTTTGTGCATTCGGAGCCACCTAATCTTTGGATGATTACATGGTCATCATCCCGTTTCTCCACCCGGATGGCGATTAGGGAAGGCTCGCTTCTGTGGGTTTGTGGCTGAGGCCTCTGAGTTTCATTGAGTTTCTGGCTTGTGACTATAGCACTGAAAACCCAGACCATGGCTTCCAGGCCCGCCTCGATGGGAATGTCCGAGCCACTCCGAGTTTTGGCCTTGGGAAGTCCAGCGCGTGCTTCGGGAACCCTTTAACGCATGACCCGACGTATGCCCGTGATTAAAAGGTCCCCTTTCCGCAGGAGGGATTATTGTTCGCAATCAAGAACCTACGTAAGGACACTGCCTTCAAAGGAAGAGAGTTCATCTTTTGCAGATGTCTGAGGCTGCTGCATCCAGCGTGGTCAGGGGCGCCGTTACGTAGAAAGGCACACCGTGGTGTCGGCATAGCACCGCCAAAGCGTAGGTGCCGATTTTGTTAGCTGTGTCGCCGTTTGCTGCCACCCGGTCTGCTCCCACCACGCAGGCGTCCACTCCGAAGCGCTGCATCAGCGAAGCTGCCATGGAGTCGCAGATCCTCAAAGCCACTCTGTCACTTGACAGATTTGTGGCATCGAAGCAGAGACAGAGAGAGAGAGAGAGAGAGAGAGCTGACTCGATGAGAAAATGATGTTCTTAGTGCTATTGTTTTTCTGATGAGGAGGAGGACGAGGAGGGAAGGGGGATCTGCGACGCGAGGACTCATAAGGCTACTCATTGACCAATCCCTCTCCTGACGTGGCCTTGGCACTTCGTGCTTCAAAGTGGCAGTGTTCCCGGAATCCCATCCTCCACAAACCTCGGTCACTGGTGGTGTCGACATTCAACCTGAGCCCTCAACCCAAAATAATGGAATTGCCGAGTCGCTCGAAGGCTGTCAGCCGAGCGCCCTGGTTGTACGGCCTGGGCCAAAGCCCAAAAGAGAGCTCCGACATACTCCAACACTATACAACAACCGAAAAATACTAGACTGGACTCTATGGTGTTACAATAAACTGCACTGTATTCTCTTATACTATAGCCTGTCATGTCATGTTCTCTCAGGATATTACCTCCCATACTAGAGCATATCATCTCAATCTTAGTATGATACATATCCCCTACACCCTGAACCCTACACCGTACTATCTTAGTACTATGCTACATATCCCCTCAGCCGAAGCCCTAAGCCATACGATCTTACTATGCTACACTGCTACGCTATACATTATCCTAGTAAAGGCCCCAGGACAGCACAGGCCACCGCCTCGTCTCACAAGCGAAGGCACGCTCTAGGCGGCCTCCAAAAGTAGTTCGCATGCAGTTTAGGGCTTAGAGTTAAGGGTTTTCAGCAGTGTGATACAAGATTGTCGTCAAAGAGTCAGATATGTCTGAGTATGACCTCAACGAACCTCATCTCATCTGAACTGCCCAATCAAATCAAAGGTTTGTACCATAACAGAATAGAGTACAAAAAA